ATTAAAAGCGCGGTTCGTAAACGAGATGTAACCGCGACAAAGTACCACGGTTTACACTCATATTTTAGATGAGTTAGTCTCGTGAAATATCTATGTATATGTTGATAAAGAACCGTCGCCTCAACACGCAATTCGTTTCTCATTACAAGTTGTAGAAACTTAATAATTGATCGAGGAACGTCACTTGTTACTAACAAAGGTGTGCAAATCAATAGCGTTTTATCCATACATTTATCGCGATCGAGTCTTCGAGACCGATAACGCGAAAGTAATACGACACACGGAGCGACTCTCGGCTGCTGCCTGCCGGCTCGACGTTCGCCGAGCGAGTGAGAATGCGACCTTCAGGTATGTACACGATGGCACTCAAAAACATCGTACGTCACCGCGCCGACAGAAAAACAACTACGAACGTTGAGAATTCGTTGTCTTTTTTTTGTTCCGTGACTGTTACTACGTTTTGTGTATCATTCTGCGGACTTATTGGTATTGATTAAATAAACGATTAATTCTGTTCAATCGAGAAAATGTGTCGGAACAAAAATCGTTGTTATTTAAATTCTAATTACTAAGATTAGAGATTTTCAATGGGCGTTTAAATTTCAATTTGATTTAGAGATTTTACCTCAATAGTTGGTGTATACAAATGTATATTTCTAAATTGCAAATCTTCATTTACCATGAATCTAAAAGAGAAGTGAAGCACACCGCGCTTCGAGAAAACCAATCGGCATCGCGGAAAAGAGGCCTCAACTGTTTGATATTAACGACATTCGCGCTATTAACATCTCTTTTTTAGAAAGGGACCAGACAATACAAGCGCGCGCTTCGCATCTCTCTAAAAATTCGCATGGTTTGAGAGCTGCAAATAACACGACTGAAGTATGTCGTATCGCACAAGCGAGACAGCCAATCAGCATCGCGGAAAAGCAGCAACAATACTTCGAGATATGCGACTAATCGACTTACATGCCTTTTTTAGAAGTGGAAATAGAAATTCACTTTTTTTAACGTGGTTAGGAACGTGCACTTAGATTCAGGGTTACGTTCCAAAATCTTCTTTTCCGAGGAATATTTCACTCGATGGTCATTCCGAAATCATTTTGAACGTTTTCGCTCTATTTCTCTAGTAAAATTTTCCTCAGAGAAAATAGGTTTACGTTCCATAACATTTCCCCGGAGAAAATGTTTTCAAACGTAAGCCTGAATCTAAATGAGTTCCTAAACTCATTTAAAAAAAAGTGTCGCAACCATTCTGTTTATCACTGCAGACACGATATGCTGCACTCTTTATCTTTTTGTTTTCTAAATGCAACTGGCTAATAAGCGAAAATGGCGAAACGTCGAAATACGGAAAAAGATAACGAGTCGATATCATACGACGCGTATACACGGTGGTGACATTTTTGACACTGACGAGGATAAATTCGTAAGCAACGAGTGAATATTCCTGCTCAAGAGACTCGAGCGAACGTATCTACGAAAAAAAAAAGAATAAACAATTTCACGCCGCATGAATATGTTGGCGACTACGTTTTGCGCGTGCGACAGCAGTCGTTCCGCTGTGATAGAAAAAAGAATTGTCGCGTGATACCCAACGATATCGATCAGGTGTTTCGTTCGAGAGCCCGTATAATTCGCGTTTCTGCAGTGGCGAACGGCGCGAGCGGGGGGAGGGGAGGAGGAGCGGAAAGAAAAAGGGGGGAAAAGATAACGACAGAGCGAGACGGAAAATAGGTTGAAACGCCGCCGTAAACATTTGTATAAATAAATGTAAATCTGCCCGGTGCGCGCGCGAAAGCGTTATGTGTATAAAGCGTACGAATAAATGTAAATCTCGCTTTTCGGAAAATGGCACGCTCGAATAAAATCTCCGAGCGATATTTCGGCTCTCCGATAAATGGGAGGGCAACCGGGGTCGGAGAAGGAACCGGCTTAACGATCAGCACAGAGTAGTTTTGCACGCGCGGTAATTGATGGTTTTGCCGCACAGAGTCGAGCTGATTACGCTATGATGATAATTAACTGCGTTTATAAGCGCGTTATGGGCGCGCGTGCTGCGGCGTGGCTTCGTGCCTTCGCGGCGCGTTGATTAAAGCTCGAGTGACGCGGCGCAAAAACGACCCAGGCGACCTTTAACAAAATTCTCCGGCCGGACACGAGGATCCCCCGGTATGAAGGAGGAAAAACATGTTTTATCCTTTTTGAACCGTTCGCCGGGAACGAGGGGGAGTCCGCTGCGTCGCGCGGTACGTTAAACTCGTTATCGACGACGATATACATCTCGTTACCCCTTTGCGCCCCTCGGCGTCGACGATAGCTTTTACGGAATTCCGCCTCGTGTTTAGAAATGTAGATGGGATAAGACGCTTAACTACGGAATATATAGTTGTTCAATCCATTGGACTGAACTGACGGAATTCCCGTGGAAATTCAAATGCCTAACTCATGAAATGTAAAGTGGAGGTACTAAGGAATTCGACTTAAAAAAAGATTCTTAGCGGAATATTTTGGATTTGGCCAACAACTTTAAGGACGCGCTTCTTCACTTTGAAGTCACTTCTTATTTAGCAAATATAAAGTCGGAGGGAAGCTACCTATCAGAGCGATCCTTAATGTTGAACCTCTCGACAGATAAGTCGCCTAGCGGAGCACCGAGTTTGAGAGAGACAGTGAAAAAAAAACACGCGCCTCGACAGTACCAAGTATCACGATTGTGACAGAGAAACGTCATGTGTGAACTGTGCTTTTTACCCTAAATGGATGTGCGATGGCACGGGACGCGCGCGAGCCCGACTGGGATGATTATTCTCGGCGGTTATTACACGTTGCTCTATTAATTTCTCCGGTTGTCTCCGCAGCAGACGATGACGTCTGAATCGGACACCGGCGTTCCCGATTCCAACCGCACGTTGTCGCATATGTAATTTGCGCCTCGTGCGCACCGATGAGTCGCGTCGCGCTCCCCAGCTGCCAGCGGCGGCCTCGCCGAGCTGCATAAATAATATCGGAGACGCGGATGGTTCCCAGACCTGTCGGTTCGCGCGATACTATGCATTGATAGCATCACTTCGATAAGTTTGCTGGAAGTTTCAGGGGAGCGAAACAGGATAAAAGTAACAGAAGTTCAAGAGAACGCGGAAATAGATAAATAAGTTCGCGCACGTTGTTTCGATCGACGTAAACCGTAGGAATGGTCTTGTATCTCGATCTCCTAAGATCAAAATATTTTCCAGACGCATATAAGCGTTTGATGATGGAAACGAAATTCAATTGGACCGAGTGTGCGAAGAGAGAAAACGCGAGTGAAAAGTGACACCACGAGAGACACAACGGTGATTTATCTCGATGAACCGAAGTTGTAATTGAGAGAAGATAATTAATATATATAGAGAGAGAGAGCGAGCTAGACAGATTGTGTTCTGTAGAGAGTCCTTCGGCGCAAGTAGAAATATGTACAGCGATATAAAATTAACGGAAAAGGAGAAATGTAGACTCGAGTATTCTATTACAATCATAAAAAGTACATCGAGAAAGTTGGAACTTCCAATTTAGAAGATAAAAGGCACTAGGCGTTTCCTCTCTTAAAACGACTTGGCCTCGCAAGTTCCTGCGAAGGGTAAATCCCACAAGTGGCAAGCTTTTAATAATGATTGATAGGCACTTTGAAACGAGCGGACTTGCCGACGGTAACAACGGCACTTGGTCTCTTCCAAGTAAAATCATAGACAGTATTAAAATAATAAAGAAAGTGGACGCCGAGTGCGTGGCGGGGGGGGGGGGCGGAAAAGTCCATTCGTGGCCTAAAACTCATTAATAACGGCTGGATCACATAATGCTGCGTAATGCGGCTGAAATGAGAAATGAGTAACGGGGTCAGGGCGCGCGTGGAGGACGCGGGCGAGTTTCGCATTCGCGGGAATCGCATAATCCTTTCCTAATGACGCGACCGTTTTTAGCTTTAATACGCGCGCCGCACCCCGACACGCGCGGCAGTGATACGGCGGCGAATATCCGGCCGCGTTTCCCCCGCGCGCGGCTCGCATATTTCGCCGCGCGGATTAGCAGCCCCGCGCTGAAACGTATGCAAAGTCGCGCGTTATGCACGGGGTACGCGCGCGCTCCAGATTCGCTCCGGCTAGAGACCCTGTAATCAGAGACTGAATAAGAGTTCGTCAAATTCCCGCGAGCGAGAGAGAAACATAGGCTATCTCACTCGCGGGAATTTGACCAACTCTTATGGCCAGTCTCTGATTACACAGGGTCTCTAGCTCTGGCTTGCGCGGGAATATCCGGCTGTATTCAGGTACGCTCATCCCTTTCGTCTTCGACGCTGGAGTACCTCGGCAATTAAAGTCTCTCGCGGGTCTCTGTTCCGCCCGGCGGAAAGAGTCGCGAGATGCCTCACGCGTCCTCTTCAAAGGCCCCTCGTCGTTTCGCGTCGCGCACGAAAATTATCCCGAGGAAAAAAAATAAATATACATTCTTTAGATTTAGCTCTCGACATCTGTCATGCTGACGCACGTATCGGTGATTTCGCAGCACTGTATACGTGGCTTAATGCAGACATACGGAGTACATCAGCGCGGCACTGGTTCGACGAGGCGAGGCGAGCTTTCGAAATAAATCCCTCCGTACGCGTAAATCACGCGAGCTCTTTTTTTCCTCCCGAAACGCCGTTAATATCCCCGGCATTTTCGTGCGACTGTCACGCCGGGGCGATCGATCCCGCCGGATTTTTAGACTTCTGTTGACCCGGATTGTTATCGCAAGAAAAATACTCTTATCAATCCGATGAATCGCGTTCCCGTGATCGCGCGCATGAACGATGACTCTCCAGATAAACGAAGCCGAACGCGATCCATCAGATCACCGGCAATCTTGGCCGAACCGATGGCTCGATTCGATGGGAAAGCCTCGCTTTGTTCCGCGCGAGGATTGAAAACTACGCGGGGCACGTAAAGAGCGTGTTTAACAACGCCACGGTAGTATCGATTACAATGGGGAAGGGCATCTTAACGAAGAGAGAATGGGAGACGTCGCCAGAGACGATTTCGCAAAATCCGGGGCATGCGAGGGTAACCCGATCGACGTAGCGCCTATATCGGGGGGACAGTCTGGCTCGATATCGAATTTTTCCGATCCGCCGATCTGCCGGAGCTCCTCTCTCCGTTCTTCCCGAAACGACGCCGGGCGTCTTCGGCCATTCCGGGATCAGCCATCCCGTTTAGGTTTTACGGCGTACTTTCGGGGCCACGGCGCGCTCGGACTCGTCCGGACGACGGCGCGCACGGGCGTTTCCATCTCGAATAGAAGTTTTTACGCCCCGAGAGCTTATTATCCGCGGAACAGCCGCGGGCGCTCGTATTTCCGGATATAATTTAGCCCGGTCGGGCGTTTCAGCTGCGCGCGGCAGGCTTAATTTCGCACCTACGTGCGCGATCGCGGCCAACGAAAACGGAAATAACTTCGCCCTCACGTTACGAGCGTGAGAAAGGGAGAGGGGCAGAGGGAGGGAGAATGAACGGGCGCGTTGCTGCTCGTCGGGCCACGGGCGCGGTGAGCTCCGCGGAAAATAATTCAACGCTCTTGTCGTAAAACCGGCATAAATTGGGTGCGGTGTGCACCAGACAGTATCGATTCCCCGAGGCAACTGTCGACGGCGTTCTACGCTAGACGTAGACTCGGGGAGTTTGTCCACCGCGCTCTGCGACGGTGACTCTCCAGTGGACGAGACTCGAGTAGATCCAGAGTTGACGTGCTAATTGTATTCTTGGAAAATTATCCCCGTAGCGAGAGTGTACAGCCCTCGCGATATTTATACGCGGCTTCAAAGAGGCTTATCGTCTCCCGCAAAATTAATCGGAGCCTCCTCGTTTATTGTTACAGACGTCGCGACGCAGCTTCACCGTCATCGGCGTTCTCCACCTGCTCGTCCTGGTCGGCCTCTTCGCCCTCGGCACGGCCGAGGCACGGACTTTCTGCCCGAACGGCTGCACCTGCGACGACGACACCCTGGTGGTCTCCTGCGTGGGCGCCAATCTGGACGTAATACCTATCGCGCTGAATCCCAGCATCCAGCGGATAGTGCTGAAGGAGAATCGCATCAAGATCGTGGACGCAGCAGCCTTCCAGTTCTACGGCGATCTGAAAAACGTCGACCTCTCCAGCAACCACCTGTTCACCATACCCAACGGCAGTTTCGATGCCCAACGACACCTTGTGGAGCTCCACCTCAAGCACAACAAGATCTCGGCGCTGACCGAGAAGACGTTCCAAGGCCTCAAGTCCCTCACGGTGTTGAATCTGCGGGACAACTACTTGGAGACGCTGAAGAACGGCCTATTCGCCTATCTGTCCAAGCTCGAGGAGCTCGATCTGGGCCAGAATCGCATATCGAAGGTGGAGCCAGGCGCGTTTCAGAAGTTAGGCACCCTCCGGGTGCTGTATCTCGACGACAACCAGCTGCGAACCATTCCGTCGCCAGCTCTGGCGCCGCTGAACGCTCTCGCCGAGCTGCACATCGGCTGGAACGCCTTCTCCTCGTTGCCGGACGACGCGTTCAAGGGTCTCGAGCAACTGGCGGTGCTGGACATCATGGGCGCCGGACTGGACAACATCAGCGACGGGGCGTTTCGCGGTCTAAACGCCCTTCGCACCTTGAAACTGGGCGCTAACAAGCTGCGCGAAGTGCCGACGAAGCAGCTGGCGGTGCTGCCGCGTCTGGAGGAGCTCACCCTGGGCCAGAACTTCTTCACGATCTTGCGATCGGGAGCCTTTCAGGGTCTGTCGACGTTGAAGAAGCTCGACGTGTCCGGCGCCAAGCTGCTTACTACCGTGGAAAAGGGGGCCTTCTCGGATAACGCCAATCTGGAGACTCTCGTGTTGAATAGTAATAAACGGCTGGCTACCATGGAGGACGGTTCTCTGGCCGGCTTGCCGAACTTGAGGCATCTGATGCTGCGCGACAACGCCTTCGTCACGTTCTCGGAGTCGTTGGTCGCTTGGAACGAACTGCGCCGGTTGGATCTCAGCGAGAATCCGCTGGTGTGCGATTGCAATCAGCTCTGGCTGGCCGAGATACTCGTCCCGAGGAACTCGAGCCCGGTGATATGCGCCGAGCCGCCCGAGTCCAAGGGCAAGCCCATCAAGGGCATGTCCGCCGACGAGTTGGGCTGCGCATTCTCGGATCCGCGCAAGCAGGCTCTGCTAGCGACGGTGTGCGCCGCCGGATTAGCCCTCTTCACCGGCCTCGCGCTGCTCCTGTACTACCGATGTCGTAGACGCGTGCGAGACGCGCTCAAGGACTACAAGTGGAAGAACCGCGCGATATCGCGGAAAGAGCACGAGTACCAGAAGACCTTCAGCGACGACGAGTACATCGTCCGCTCGGCTCACGCCCATCATCATCACCATCACCATCAGACACCGCAGTCCCAGCCGGTGCCGACGCATCATCATCACCATCACCTCCAGCAGCTGCAACAGCAGCAACAGCAGCAGCAGCAGCAGCAGCAGCACGGACAAATAGCGGCCGGTATCAAGCCAATACCGGTGACGGAGCTGTAGCTAGAACTTCGGGCGGCGAGCCCCGGGACCGGTGGGGTTTGGTTCCTGCCTCACGGCAGCACCACCCTCGCCGAGGGCTTCACCTACATCGATGGCGAGACGGCGCGCCAGATGCGCCGCCCGGGAACGCTGCCCGTCGCGAACAACGCGTCCGGTCACCGCGGAGGAGGAGGGGGAGGAGGTAGCGGAGCGGGAGGAGGGGTCAGAGGTGTCGTGGATGACGGCACGGCGTCGTTGAGCGCAGCGCCGATCGACGGGGTCACGTCTAGCGGCGGGAGGTCCCATTACTCCAGTCACTCCCTGCGCCGTACGCCGCATTCGCAACCGCAACTCTCCGCCAGAGAACCGGACGATCGGATACGAACTCTGGAGTCCGGGCTGCAGAACGGAATCCCGGCCGGTGGCCGCCATCAGCCGTCACCGCCGCCGCTGCCCTCCAGGCATCAGCCCAACTGCGGCCAGTCCTCGTACCCCACTCTGCCGGTCAACGGCCACGCCAACGTTCATCATTACCATCACCACACGAGAGAGCGCGAGAAAGACAGGTCGTCCGCTCGCGAGAGAAATCGCGAGCGGGACGGCGATGCGCCGCCGCCTCCGCCGCCGCCACCGGTAACGTCGCACCGGTCCGACAAGCACAGGGAGGCCCAGTTGGAGATGGAGTTGCGCGACAGCCTTGACATGGGCGTGATCGGCACGTACCGAGCGTAGACGATCGATCAGATCGCGTCGCGTTACAGATTGAGAAAACGGGAGACGGGATTTGTAGTCGAGAAGAAACGCGAGATCGCACCATCACCGTGGAATCTTCCGCGTTGCTTCGCACAGAAGGAATTCGCAATTGACAATTCGAAGAGATGACGAAGCGCAGACCAATCAGAAGAAAGTTCCTCTCGTCGCGCAACACAGAAAAGAATTGAAACTAATAGGTAAAGCGGGAAGAAGACTGACGAAACGTTGACGAAGAATATCAAGAAGCGAGACCAAAAAGATCACACCGAAAGTGTGTTCGCCATATCGCCATGATATACAATCTATTCGAGACTTCTATTCGTATACGATCGAGATATTAGTATCGTGGATCGGCCATCGTGAATCGATGATGTCGCGATCAGCCAAAGACCAACGGGCGATGCTAAGAGGACATTTGTTAATCGATACTTTTATTTAAGTTTTCGAGGGGAAAAAGTGAGGCTGAGCTAGATGTAGCATCTAATCGCCCTTACATACCGCTGCCAGAAGAAAACACGTTGAATATTCATTCGAGGTCTGTGAGATTTTTGTAATTTAAGTAATGCAAAGTCTAAATACGAGCAATTCTTCGCAGATTATACCTTCGAAAATATTTCTCCAAGTTTTTAGCGTTCCAATTGTTTTTGAATCGCGCTCCTCTTCTTTCGGTCTGTAATGATGAATCAAGCGGACGAGAAAAAAAAAGAAGACCAACGGGCTCCGCATCGTAATCAAAAGGTGCGAGTGATACTTGGCGTTAGATATATCTGTGCAAGATGCCGCATCTTTACCGGAACGAGATGGCATTCCGAAAATTATACACCTCGTCTATAACCCTAAGCGATCCTTAATAAGCCCATCTTCCCGCGCGACTGCTCGAAGATTAATACCCTCTCTACGTCACCGTGGGGAGTCGTCGCCTCGGAATCCCGGGGAAGAGAAGACCCAACGGGCACGGAATGACTTTCGCCAGGATTTTTATCACGTCCGTCTTATCACTGATGACCGCAAGATCAGCACTGTCGAGGATGAGTGATGCCAAACGGAAATCTCTCGCGGGTGGATAACCCGTGGGAAGACAGGGTCGGTTTCCTCCCCCCTCCCCCTCTTCCTCCCCTTTCCCGGAAATGACGGGCCATCGGCCACGTGGAGCCTGTTGTGTTCCATGCGACACGTACACATGCACGCGTAAGAAGATTCTATACGCGCGGTCGACCACTTGACGATCGTGCCGAGACCGCCGAGCTCGATCGAAACCGAAGTTCGATAGCGCATCGGTCTACGCCGAGTCATTCTTGAAGCCGATCCGACGGCGAGGGCTTAACGAGTCCGCGACGACTCCGCAGGATCCGAAGGATCACGGTTCGGGGAAGCGGGAGCGACTCGTTAAGATCCATCGATCGCCGCTCGGTCCTTTTATTCCAGGCGGACGCGCAAACGAGAGTTCGTGTCGCGCGAGACGAGACGTGTATCATACGCGAGGAGATTGACCGTACTATAAGCAACGTAGGATGCAGCTATATAAATATATACAGATATATATATATAAATAAAAAGTATATATATACATAAATTATATATATATATATATATATTCTAAACGGTCGAATTATTTTCTAAATAAAAACACCAATGTACAGAGGCACGACGGAGACGGTATAGTTGAGCTAGTGTCAACGCGTCCTCGACTATCTTTAACTTTAAGAGATTCTAGATCGTCGTCGAGAGAGTTTCCGGATACCTGCCTACCGCAGTGGAAAAGGGCAAGAGATAAGGAGAGTGAGAGAGACGATCGGTAAGCGGGTATCCGCATGCGATTTGATCCCTCGATCGTCGGGAGATCGCGGGGATGGAGAACCTATCAAAATGTTATCTGATATCGCGGCGCGAATTAGCGATGTAAGGACGGTCGTTCCCCCTTTTTTCTTCTCCTCTCGATATGTAAGTTAAGGGTAAGAGTCACGCTTAGGGGTTTAACCTCGAGAAGGTTTACGCTGTTATTAGGGAACCGCGCGGGTTTCTAAAACGCGGGTATCGTCCGTTTCCCCCCCTCGTTTCGGCGGATGAGTGTCCTTCAGATCGCCAGGTCACGTCGATCTCCAAGTGGATATCGAGGAATTCTCGGGCGGTAATGCGCTGCAATGCGAATGGCGCCGTACGCTCGAGGATCGATCTGAGACGCGATATTCACTGGAAACTGAAATCTCCTCCGTTATTGACGCTATTGCTACCGGAGCTTGTGTGGCGAGCGTGGCACAGATAAATGTGCGCTGCTTAGTAAACAAATGAACGAAAAGACGCGAGTTCAAATCCAATCACGGACACCGCTGCCTAGAGATACTCGTAGGTCCTCTTTCCGATTGGGTTCGTCATATTGCCTCAAAACCGGAAGTACGGTATACACAATGAACTAAATTAAAGCTTTTATTCATGAGAAATTACAAAAATTTGCATGGCATTTGTGAATTTATACAAGATATTATATGCCACAACATTTTTTCTATTCTTTCTTCAAAATTACATCAATTTTTTATGCTAGTGGGTGCTTTCGAATTGCAATGTCCCTAGACACTTTCGTACGCACGGCGACAAATGGCGTTCCAATTGTCACAAATGTCGACACACACCTCTACACATTCGTACTCAGCCTGAGGGCTACTAGTCGGCTGTGTAAACTTGTGTTTTCTAATGACAAATAATAGTTACTAAGTACTACAAGTGGTCGGTATGTTTCTTCGCTACGATGGTACTATATAAAAGGGAAGAAAAAGAAGTGAGGTTGCGTCTGATATCACTCTGGCGCATAAGTAATACCGAAGTGGGAGGAGGAAAATGCGCAATTACGGCACGCATTTTTTTCTTTTTACTCAACAATAAACAACGGCAATATTCAGAGTATCATTGAGGCAATAAATATTTTGAATCAACATTGGGTGACGCAGTTTCGATCACCACCATGGATTAGAAAATACCAAGCATGGATACTATACTACTTTGTGTACTCTCTGTGGTACACTTTAGGTTTGTTTTCTGTTCCTGCACTGGTGAACTAGTGCAGTAAACTAGAATGAGAACAAATATGCTTGTCTTACTCTGATTTATTGCACTAGTTCACTAGTGTAAGAACAGAAAACAAGCCTTTTTTTTCCAATTGAGTCGTGCACATCGCGACACTTTGTGTCTTCCTGTGTACGTTTGTGTTAAAAAGTGTAAAATAATTGGAAAGCACCCAGTGTCAACTATTTGAAACACATCCGAAACATCTTTATACCATGCGCAACATAGAAATGACGTACTTCCGGTTTTGAGGAAATATGACGGACTCGGGTGAATTGGCTAATCTCTGCCTAGAGTGTCTAACCGCCGGTTTTTTCGAACGCCACCTCTTGGAGGGAAGTGACAACCAGCGAGAGATTCCTACCCCTTTAGGGGTATAGCCCTCCAGGTGGGAAGTTCCTTCGGCAAGGTCAGCCTACCGAAGAAGAAGTAAGACCTAACGCTCAAAGTACCAGAATAAACTGGATAAAACAGGCTTGAAGCCTAATGCACGAGAAAGAAGAAGAAGAAGCTACCGAAGCTTTCGTTTCTCTCGAACGATAAATAACCGGCAGATGATCGGCGGATAAAAATTATTAATTTATTGTTAATATACGGGTAATAACTATTTTTCGGTACGATTTTGCGAATTTTGTTCCTCGAGAAAAAGACGCGCGGCGTCCGTCGATCAATCCGCGAGACGTGTCACGTGTCCCACGAGGAGAGAACCCGAGGGCGGAGACACGATCAGTTTTGTCGACGTCCCGGGATTCGAATCCCTCGTGAGAGTAGCTTCGCATCTCGCCTCGCGCTCTCGCCGCGACACTGTGGACCGGATTCCAGCCGGCTCCGGTCCGCGCGCCGTCGGAATACCGCCGTTTAAAATCGCGGCGTCGGTATCCGGCCGCGCCGCGGTGATTTTCCGGCCACTTTTACTCTCGATATTACACGGAGAGGCAATTTCCGCGGCGGGGCAATCGAAAATCCCGCGGCCCTGATAAATCGCGGCCGCATTAAAATGCACGGGGCGCGGCCGAGTTTAAGTTAGTTCGCCGACCGGCGTAATGGCCGCATGGCGGAGAGCACGGGAAAGCCAGGAGAGGAGGAAAAGGGAGAAAGAGAGAGCGGAGAAGGAGCGAGAGGCGAGGTGTACGGCGAAGATGTACTTTACGGAACGAGATTATTTTTCCGCCCGAGTGTACCCAGTGGAATTCCACGGTCACCCGGCTTGA